TTACTGAGATATAAGAATTCTTTATATATTTAGGATACAAGTCCTTTATCAGGTATTTGATTTAAAAATACTTTTCCAGTCTCTGACTTGTCTTTTCATTTTTAATGATGTCTTTTGAAGAACAAAGGTGTTGAATTTTAAGTTCAATTTATCATTTTTCTTTTACAAGTAATGCTTTTTGGTATTGTATCTAAGAACTCTTTGCTTAATCCAAGGTCTCCTATATTTACTTCTGAAAGTTTTATAGTTTTACCTCTTACATTTATATCTAGTCCATTTTGACTTAGCTTTTGCATGTGGTGTGAGGTACGGGGTCTAAATTCATCTTTTTAGAAAATTGAAGTATAATTGATCTACAATAGTATGTTAGTTCCAAGTGCACAATACAGTGAGTTGATATTTTTATACCTTTCAAATTGACTCACCATAAGTCTAGTTACCAAGTATCGCCATACAAAGATATATTATTGAGTATTTCCCTATATATATATTACATCCACATAACTCATTTATTTCATAACTAGAAGTTTGTACCTCTTAATCTCCCTCACCTGTTTCTCTCATCCCAACCACCTCCCTCCCCTCTGGCAACTACCAGTTTGTTCTCTGTATCTAGAGAGTCTGTTTCTCTTTTGTTATGCTTATTTATTGGTTTTATTTTTTTAGATTCCACTTATAACTGAAATCATATGGTGTTTCCCTTTCTCTGTTTGACTTTTTCACTTAGCATAATCACCTCTAATCTGTATTGTTGAAAAGGGAAGATTTCTTTCTTTTGTTATGAATGAATATTATTCCATTATGTGTCTGTGGGTATATATATATACACACACACATTTTCTTTATCCATTCGTCAATCAATGAACACTTAGGTTGTTTCCATATCTTAGCTATTGTAAATAATGCTGCAATGATCATAGAGGTGCATATATCTTCTCAAATTAGTGCTTTTGTTTTTGGGGTATATACCCAGAAGTGAAATTTCTAGATCATATGGCAGTTCTATTTTTAATTGTTTAAGGGACTTCTGTACTGTTTTCATAGTGATTGTACCAATTTACATTCCCACCAGCAGTACACAAGGGTTCCCTTTTCTCCACATCCTCGCCAACACTTGTTATTTGTTGTCTTTTTGATAACAGCCATTCTGACCAGTTGTGAGGTGATATCTCATTGTAGTTTTCATTTGCATTTCCCTGATGGCTGGTGATTTTGAGCATTTTTTCATGTACCTGTTGGACATCTGTGTATCTTCTTTGGAAAAATGTTTACTCAGGTCTTCTGCCCATTTTTTTAAACATTTTTTTATTGAGTTATAGTCATTTTACAATGTTGTGTCAGATTCCAGTGTACAGCACAATTTTTCAGTTATACATGAACATGCATATATTCATTGTCAAATTTTTTTTTGCTGTGAGCTACCACGAGATGTTGCATATATTTCCCTGTGTTATATAGTATAATCTTGTTTGTCTGTTCTGCATATGCCTGTCAGTGTCTACAAATTTCGAAGTCCCAGTCTGTCCCTTCCCACCTCCTGCCCCCTTGGCAACCACAAGTTTATATTCTATGTCTATGAGTCTGTTTCTGTTTTGTATTTATGTTTTTTTTTAGATTCCGCATATGAGTGATCTCATATGGTATTTTTCTTTCTCTTTCTGGCTTACTTCACTTAGAATGATATTCTTCAGGGACATCCGTGTTGCTGCAAGTGGTGTTATGTTGTCATTTTTATGGCTGAATAGTATTCCATTATATAAATATACTGCTTCTTCTTTATCCAGTCATGAGTTGATGGACATTTAGGCTGTTTCCATGTCTTGGCTATTGTAAATAGTGCTGCTATGAACATTGGGGTGCAGGTGTCATCCTGAAGTAGGGTTCCTTCTGGATATATGGCTAGGAGTGGGATTCCTGGGTCATACGGTAAGTCTATTCCTAGTCTTTTGAGGAATCCCCATACTGTTTTCCACAGTGGCTGCACCAAACTGCATTCCCACCAGCAGTGCAGGAGGGTTCCCTTTTCTCCACAGCCTCTCTAGCATTTGTCATTTGTGGATTTTTGAATGATGTCCATTCTGGCTGGTGTGAGGTGATACCTCATTGTAGTTTTGATTTGCATTTCTCTGATAATTAGTGATACTGAACATTTTTTCATGTGCCTATTGATCATTTGTATGTCTTCCTTGGAGAATTGCTTGCTTAGGTCTTCTGCCCATTTTTGGTTGGGGTTATTTGTTTTCTTTTTATTAAGTCGTATGAGCTGCTTATATATTCTGGAGATCAAGCCTTTGTTGGTTTCATCATTTGCAAAAATTTTCTCCCATTCTGCAGTTTGTCATTTTTTTTACTTATGATTCCCTTTGCTGTGCAGAAGCTTGTAAGTTTAATTAGGTCCCATTTGTTTATTCTTGCTTTTATTTCTATTGCTTGGGTAGACTGTTCTAGGAGAACATTTTTGACATGTATGTCAGATAATGTTTTGCCTATAGTTACTTCGTTGAGGTTTATTGTATCTTGTCTTACGTTTAAGTCTTTGATCCATTTTGAGTTTATGTTTGTGTCTGGTGTAAAGGAGTTTTCTAGCTTCACTGATTTACATGCTGCTGTCCAGTTTCCCCAACACATCCTTATTTGGTTTTAAGAGTGGTGGGACTGACAGGGGACTATGAGAAACTTAGATTAAACTTGTGAAGAGCTTGCACACACTTGCTTACTCCCAAAACAAGGAGAAGATTGAGCCTGCATGGGGCTCTGGCTGATTTACCATGAATGCCCCAGCACATGCTTTGGCCCACAC